AATTAAATTCGTTGAAATAAAAATTATGACTTTATACAATTAATCAATATAAAATAAAATGCCATAGAACAAATACATGTGTGGAAGAATTGTTTATTTATTCAGATAAGTAGAACTAAATTTGTTATTCTTTTTAAGTATCCATTTTCAAGTGATTTTTTTTTCTCAACTGAAATTATTACATTTTAGACTAAAAAGATCATAGCCTTCAAATTAAGTGATATACTAATTTGTCGTTATGCTTTGAACACCATGTCGTTTTTAGTCTGATATATTTTTAATTGCAACATTACTATAAAATATTGTAATGACTTCTGCATATATAATTATACAGTTTTATGAGAAAAATGTTTTGTTTTTTGTAATGTTTAATGTACACTTTAGCACTTCATTGACATTTTCTTTTACACAGAGCAGCACTGAGTGAAAGTTATCTAGGTTTCAGCTCGTATTTGGAAATATAGTGCGTACATTTGAAGTTCAAAATACAGACGTTGTATCGGAGTTCACAGTGACTAATATTATAACAAACGTATATACTTCACATAGAGTAATAAGCCCTGAACGACTATGGAACAAAAATGGTGAATGATTTTTCATGTCAACATAGACGCTGCGACTCTAACGCAATCGTAGTGGTGTCGTATATGTAATGTAGCCAAGTAAATATGAGTGTCTTTGTGTACGTGCGTTTAAAGATGTCTTACATCCAACGCTCCACCAAGCAAGACAAGCTGTTTGTAGCTACAGGAGATGATTTTTTTCAACGATTCTACTTTCGATCAATACAGTACAAACATCTGGTAGAGAAATAATTAGTTATGGTGTACCTATAATGTTTGTTTGTTTGTTTGTTTTTAATTATGCACAAAGCTCCACAAGGGCTATCTGTGGTCTGCCCACACGGGTATCGAAACCCGGTTTCTAGCGTTGTAAGTCCGCAGACATACCGCTGTGCCACTGGGGGGCTACCTATAATGTAAAATACTTATAAGAATATAAAAAAGTACTGACGATGTAAAGCTATGTATATGATTAAATTTGGTATTACTAAGTACTATTACTTTTATATGAAAACTCTTTTTGTAGCGACTAAAAACAGTAAACTTTAGACTTATAATCCTTTTGATAACTTGTACATTTTTTCACATCACAGTGACCCGACATCATATTGCTACTTGAAGTGAACTCCTTCGTTTCAGCGTCCGCTACCTGCAAAAACTACTGACTTGTTGTATTTGTTTGTTTGTTTGTAATTAAGCACAAAGCTACACAATGGGCTATCTGTGCTCTGCCCACCACGGGTATCGAAACCCGGATTCTAGCGTTGTAAGTCCGCAGACATGCCGCTGTGCCACTGGGGAGCTACTTGTTGTATCTCACGGCTTGTTATCATCGATAGGGAAATGTCAAGTAGTATATCTTTGGTTCGTATGTTCTAACAAGGATGCAAGATTTGCATTAACCTACGCAAAACTGACATTCAAAAAATATTGAAATGTTTATGCAATTTCTAGCACATTGCACGCATTAAATTATTTACTAATTGTGATTCTTTATAGTAATAATCACTATTTCTGTTAACATTTCAGTTTGAAAATTGCAAGGATATTACTGACTTTTTACCTTCAAAAGTTTTAAGAAATCAACTTAAAGTGTTGTTACTTAAAACATAAAAAAATCTTTCAAAATAGCTACCTTGATTACGCCTCAGATATTACTGCATTGTAGCTATGACGTTTTTTTCCTACTATGTGAACAATAAATTTAATTAGAATTATTGAAGCTGCGCATTAAATGCTCGAAGAATGTACAGTTTACATATAATTATGTAGAAGTATAAAAAGCATGATCAACTTCAAGCTACTTAATAATAATAAAAATATCAACCAGTGTCAGGTGATTCCTTTTGGGCTTGTTACATTTCACATGTTCTTGTAACTGCTGTGTAAAAACAAGTTGTGCTAATGAAAAATGAGTACACTTAATCTTACATAATGTTAATACTCCTACAGCATATAAAAGTCACTCTTAGCTGTCTCTAAGTTTCACCGATAGACTAGAGGGAAGGTACCTAGTCAACAGCACTCATCGTCAACTTAAAATAATTACTTTTTTCTAACAAAGTAGTGAAACTCGAGTGTCATCTTTATAACGCACCGGCGCGATTTATTTATTTTGTGACAAACACAGACCTACAGTCCAGCAC